GTGCTATGTATCCATTGCAAATACTAAGCCCTTGTTTCTTTTACAGCAGGCTACATTGCAATCAACATAGGGGTACCTTCCTCCATACATTCTGCGAATGTCCAGTCCTTACTCCTTTTTGGTTCCACTGTCCAATTGATATGCTATAGACTCACATAAGTTCTGCTGAGTTCACTTACCTTCCTGTTGCACCTTAACCACCTCACTATCAAAAGGTACAAAAACTCACTTTTTCTCCATTTAGTGAACACAGTCAGAGTTTGTATCCTTGTTTTAAGGAAGCACACCTCTCCGCTCTCTCGAAAACCATGCAAATGGTGACACCCTCCTTGTATCACCAAAAAGAGAGAAAACCTGGTTTTACTTGCGAGATTTCTGCTCTGCATTGGAGATTCTCATCCCTTACAGGACATTGGTTAGAGTGGGGATGACCCAATTATTCTCTTCCCTACAAAAGTGCTATATGTATCCATTGCAAATACTAAGCCCTTGTTTCTTTTCCACAGCAGGCTATGGGTTTCCTTGTTCTTTCCCCACTTACCCCTAGCTAGTTTTGCCTTTAATGGACTATCAATGATTCTCTGGAAATTGTTATTCTTCATCCAATATCATTACCCCAGCGAGGGTTTCACCATCAATGTAACCATTGATTAATGTATGCTACATGGATTGTATATTGCTTTTTACACTTTTGTACACTCTGTTCATCTTACTGTCCATCTTATGTACATCTCTTCTTTACTGACTCTGTATCTGAAAGTCTCTTGCAATAAAAAGCATAATTAAAAAGAAACTTAAGTTAGCCAGTGTAGAGTTTTACTTAACGTGATACTAAATGGAGTGTTAATTACCATACTTTATTCATATAACCCATACATATCGTGCCACTGTATTCTTTTTAAATCCTTTTTTATAAATACAGTGCATGCATACCGTGGTATTCCTCTCCACAACATGGACTATGAATGTTTTACTTTTAGTAGTTTTTTACGATATCAGTGTCCCCTTCATGCAGTCTTGTTCCTGCATGAAATGTGCATGCAAAACTGATGTCAACAATCCCCAAAACTATTAGAGAAAATCCCCTTCTTTTGCTAAGTATACTTTACTGGCATACTTTTGGACACTATAGAGTACATGCCTTAATGTAGCACTACCCTCGTAAGGGCAGCTGGATTTAATTGGGTGCCCCTAAGCTTTGCACAGCCAGGCAACATGCATCAGTAAAACAGTTCTTGAGCTGATTTTTAATTGTTTTTAATTTAGGGGTTAACAATTTGGACGGGGTCTAGGGGTATATGGAATGCTCAAGGAACGGTAGAACTTGGGGATGAACTTCTTAGCAACTATGTGCAAAAAAATGTGGACTAGCCAAAGATATAGCACTGTTCCTTTTTCTTGGTGTACCTCCTCAGAACTCAGATAAATCCTCCTCTTCACCCAGCTGTGCTGAGGGTATCCTTGAGCAAGGGGATCCCAAGAGCTTACCATTAAACAGTCCCAGTTGAAGACTAGTTGGGTATTGCACCTGACTGCTCTCTCCCCTTATTCTGCCCAAGGGGTGTAGGAGTACTCACACTATCCTTGCCTGCTAGCATGATGGGTTGGTGGCTGCCTTCGGGCCTTATGCTCGGCTGGCTCCTTTCCTACTAACAGGTTGTCCTCCCAAGGAGACATTGAGGCAGTAGAGATCCTCCCGTCCATCATCCTGCCTATAGGTAGGCTCCCTTCCCCGAGGCCCCCTCCCAGGCTCCACATTCCAGCCTGTTCTCAATCCATCTTCCACCCGACTCCCCTTTCTCCCTAGGCTCTGTCATATTTGAGGGGTGCCCTGGTCACTATGCCAAACCTCCTGCCAGGGGATTGACCAAGGTCCCTCAAACATGCAGGTCTGAGCCTCCTCCCCTGTTCAAGAAATTTCTACAGTTTCTGGAAGGGTGGGAGGGCTCCAGAAGCCCTGACCTGTAGAACCTCCCATCCTGTCCTGAAGTGAACTCCTGCCTCACTCCCAGGCTGACTCATCCCAGACTGCTACTCTCTATCTAATAAAGAAATCAACAAACCCTATCTAGATAACCTGGAGGGCATTACATTAGCAAATCATACTTTTTAGGGGGTTTTCTGTATGTATGCTGTGACTGCTGTCCATGTGTCCACACCATTGTAGGCACACAATACATTCTGTGAGGATAATGACTTTAGATGTTTGTGCAAACTCACCTACTCCATTAGGTGAAGGTAGGTTGTTACTTGCTGTTCTTAATCTATTACTTGCTTATTAGGTTATAAGACAGTAGTAAAAAGGACATTGAGAGGTACGCAGTGGAATTGAATCCCATGTACCAAAATATTCCTGCATTACTTCTAGATCCAAAAGGAGCAGGAGGACCTGGATCCTATCAGTGCTGGGATAGTGATCTCATCAAGTAGGCATTTTTTGTTTCCTTACATTTTAAACACAAGCATGTGGCATACCATCAGCACAGCATGGACGTGCATGATCACAACTGTCTTGTCTTAGAATATAAATGTATGTGTCTAGTGTTCTGGGATGTGCTATTGTAAAAAGACTAAAACATGCGTATATATATTTTTAAACTACAAATGAAGCATGTTTTTAGAGTTTTGCTCATTTCTAATTCACACACAACAGCTGTATAAATTGGCTAATATGAACGTATTTGAGCCCATAGGATAGCACTGCACAGCAAGACATGACTTTTAGAAGATGATGAAAATTTCCTGGCCCTCTCTATTATTCTCTTTTTTTCTTTGTTCCTTGCCCACCTATAACCCTGACACTGCTGGAGCACCAAAACTTTTTAAACACCGCCAGATGCTCACAGTTAAAACATCACAGCAAGTTTTGGCAACCATACAGAAAGTTAGTAGTATTTCAACAGTTCAGTCTTACTATTAGTAGACAATGACATTGCTTAAAGCTACACCCATCTCCATAAAAAAAGAAAATGTATGATTGTTATAGAATATATATATATATATATACATTTGTTATATATATATCTAATATTTTTATATACATATTTTCTCTACACACTGATTTTTATTTCCAAACAATCAGAGTGGGGGTATGCAAACTCGGGGGCAGCTGAATGAAAGAGATAAGATATGAAATGGAAATGTGTTGGAGTGATTGTGTTTTATATCAGTCCTCCAGCAAGTATCTCATCAAATTTCAAGGACACAGGTCAGCATTGCTCTTTATGTCTGAAGATAGGAGAGTAGAAACCCACACAGAGGTAAAATACATGTCCTCTTCTGATGTGACATTGGGATGCTATATTACATTTATAAAATGGATTTGGAGGATAAAAATAATGTTTACTTTAGAGCATATTAAAATGTATTTTTTTTTGTGTTCTAAAAGATGTTTTAGAATTATGTTCACAAGAAAATGAAACATAATGTACATTGCTAAAAAAAAAAAAATATGAAATACAGCAATGGTCAAAAGAAATGCTCTTATGCCCATGAGTTGTATTAAATATCAATACTAAAATACCCCCAAACCCCCCACGAACGTGAAAAAGGTCAAAATATTGTCTCCCCACCCACAGCCATGCCCCACTACACTAATCAACCATGCTAGTACTGTAAAGTGCTACTGCATTCTGTTGCAAAACCATCCACAGTTCACAGTAGTCTAACTGGGACACTCCATAATGACATGTAGAAACATTATTATGAATGAATCATGACCAGGGTGACATTATTTAGACATGTGCAATTTGTTTCATTATGAATTGAAGTTCAGAGGATATTTTTGTTATTTAGATGTATCCAAATCTCTGAATCACAATAGTAACACATTTCAATGAATCAGAAAATGTGTAATGAAAACAAGGAATTCATTCGTATTTATTTGTTTTATTCTTTGCGACTTCAGAGGGTTTTGTAAGATCAATAATATTGTCACACACTGCATTTTGAGGATTGGCCAAAGTCAAGCAAAATACCAAAGCCAAGTACAATTTGTAAACGTGCAGCGCTAATAATGAAGTAGATACATAACTGGATAATTTCCAAAATAAATAAAGTGCTTCAGAATATCACAATAAAGTGCTTAATATCCAGAAAAAGTGCTTAGTAACTTAGTACCATAGGTAATAATAATAGATATTCCAATTAATGAATAAATGATTATTAGTGTCCAGATAAAGGAATTAAAATATAAAAGTCCCAATAAATGTGAGTGATCCAGATATAAACTAATCTTGTTATCCCAGTGACATATAACCAAATATTTTGGTGACATGCGAGGTATAGTAAAAAGGCACACTCACCAGATGTGCATTTTAAATGCACAGTGTATTAATATGTTGTAATCAGCCAGAGGTCCCCTTTAAGGTGGGATGAAATACAGCCTGGAATGGATATCCCTCCTCTGGAGTCTGGGGTGGTTAGAAGTCAGCCAGAGGTCCCCTTTAAGGTGGGATGGAATACAGCCTGATGTGGATATCCCTCCTCTGGACACTGGGATGGTCACCTAGGGTACCCTGGAGATTTAAATGCTGGGATGGGAGGCTTGACCAAACCAAAAGATGGCCACCAAACTATGCGTACTGGGAGGGCAAATTGCCCACACACTTCCGTCTTCATGGCTTCTTGCCAGCAGTAGACATGGCAGCCATTTCGTCCACATGGCCTAGCGGGCAGCAATGGAGGCTTATTGAAAACCTATTGCTCCTAGTAATACTAAACACGTTTGATGGATTTCCTTTCCTGAAAGCACTTGATACATTTCACCAAAATAACATAAGGACATAATTAGAGATGAGCGAATTATTCAAAAATTCGATTCGGCTGATTCGGCGAATTCACGGAATAAATTTGATTCGAGTCGAATATATTCGCTGCGAATTTAACTTATAAAAAGGGTGTTTCTAGGCTTCAGAGAGCCTTTATATTAGTGCAGAACACTGTACCTTTAATTTAAATGCCCTTGGAGTCTGCTGGGGAAGAGAAATAATACTGTCAGTCAGTATGACATGCAGATGAGTGCCGTCGATCTTAGAATCACCGCACACTTCACTCATTTGGGCAGTCACGGGGCCAAAACCAGAGTGTGGAGCCACAGTGTGGCGGTGGAGGCAGCAGCAATGGGAGGCCATACAGCACCCTATGAAAAAATGGAACCCACCAGCAGTGTGAGGAGACCTGAAAGTGGCACATGGCAGAGTGTGGCGATGGAGACAGCAGCAATGGGAGGCCGTACAGGGACCCATGACACACTCTGGACCTGGCAGCAGCATGAGGAGGTGGTACAGGGGCCCATGACAGATTATGGGCCTTACAGCAACATGAGGAGTCGGTACGGGGGCCCATGGCAGATTACGGGCCTGGCAGCAGCAATGGGAGGCCCGTAATCTGCCAGCACCCTATGACAAAATGGAACCCACCAGCAGTGTGAGGAGACCTGAAAGTGGCACATGGCAGAGTGTGGCGATGGAGACAGCAGCAATGGGAGGCCGTACAGGGACCCATGACACACTCTGGACCTGGCAGCAGCATGAGGAGGCGGTACAGGGGCCCATGACAGATTACGGGCCTGGCAGCAGCATGAGGAGTCGGTACGGGGGCCCATGGCAGATTACGGGCCTGGCAGATGACGACGAGGCTGCCAAGTGCGATCAGCCTCATCATCATCAATTAGGGTCTCCGCCTCACTACTAGCCCCCTCGGCTGCGTGTGGGTCAGGAGACAGACCTGTCTCTAGACCGGCTACCGAGCCACTCTCCTCGCCAGTACTTCTTCGCCTGGCTGCTGAAGAGGCGGATGTCTCCCCCCGTTCCTGACCGCCCTCTGTTAGCTCTTCCTCACTGTACAGTGGGGCTGAGCCCACAGCATGCGATACTTCGCTTGGTGAGGGAACACCAAAGGACAGGGGCAGGTCGAGGACACGTGATTTCAGTGGGCTTGCTCCCGGGCCATGCCAACTAACGGTTGTGTCTGACGTACCCACCGACCGTTGGCTGTAGGTGTCAGAGGTGACCTGGGAAGAGGAAGACGACCGAGCCAACCAATCGATGACGGCAGGGTTGTCGGTGGAGACACGACCGCTGGATGACACCGGGAGCACTAGCCTCTGGCTGCGACTAGTGCTGCCTCGACCCCTTCCTCTGCTGCCACGTCTGCTCGCTCCTGAAACATTGCCTCCTCTGCCACTCCTCTGCGTGTTGTCTGACATACTCTTTAATTCAACGATTCTGTGTCCCTGAGTAACGATTCTGTGTCCCTGAGTAACAATTCTGTGTCCCTGAGTAACGATTCTGTGTCCCTCAGTAACGATTCTGTGTCCCTCAGTAACGATTCTGTGTCCCTCAGTAATGATTCTGTGTCCCTCAGTAACGATTCTGTGTCCCTCAGTAACGATTCTGTGTCCCTGAGTAACAATTCTGTGTCCCTGAGTAACAATTCTGTGTCCCTGAGTAACGATTCTGTGTCCCTCAGTAACGATTCTGTGTCCCTCAGTAACAATTCTGTGTCCCTGAGTAACGATTCTGTGTCCCTGAGTAACAATTCTGTGTCTCTGAGTAACGATTCTGTGTCCCTCAGTAACAATTCTGTGTCCCTGAGTAACGATTCTGTGTCCCTGAGTAACGATTCTGTGTCCCTGAGTAACGATTCTGTGTCTGTCCCTGAGTAACAATTCTGTGTCCCTGAGTAACAATTATGTGTCCCTGAGTAACAATTCTGTGTCCCTCAGTAACGATTCTGTGTCCCTCAGTAACGATTCTGTGTCCCTGAGTAACAATTCTGTGTCTGTCCCTGAGTAACAATTCTGTGTCCCTGAGTAACGATTCTGTGTCCCTGAGTAACAATTCTGTGTCCCTGAGTAACAATTCTGTGTCCCTCAGTAACGATTCTGTGTCCCTCAGTAACGATTCTGTGTCCCTGAGTAACAATTCTGTGTCCCTCAGTAACGATTCTGTGTCCCTCAGTAACGATTCTGTGTCCCTGAGTAACGATTCTGTGTCCCTGAGTAACGATTCTGTGTCCCTCAGTAACGATTCTGTGTCCCTGAGTAACGATTCTGTGTCCCTGAGTAACGATTCTGTGTCCCTGAGTAACAATTCTGTGTCCCTGAGTAACGATTCTGTGTCCCTGAGTAACGATTCTGTGTCTCTGAGTAACGATTCTGTGTCCCTCAGTAACGATTCTGTGTCCCTGAGTAACGATTCTGTGTCCCTGAGTAACGATTCTGTGTCCCTGAGTAACGATTCTGTGTCCCTGAGTAACAATTTTGTGTCCCTGAGTAACAATTCTGTGTCCCTGAGTAACAATTCTGTGTCCCTGAGTAACGATTCTGTGTCCCTGAGTAACGATTCTGTGTCCCTGAGTAACGATTCTGTGTCCCTCAGTAACGATTCTGTGTCCCTGAGTAACAATTCTGTGTCCCTGAGTAACGATTCTGTGTCCCTAAGTAACGATTCTGTGTCCCTAAGTAACGATTCTGTGGCCCTAAAGTCTCTCTGGCCCTAACTCTGTCCCTAATACAGACAGGTCTGTCTCTCTTGAACGACCGGAGGCTAATGGAGAATTGTAAGATGGCTGCAATTTATAGCTCCACCATTACACAGTGCTGGCTGGCTGGCTGCTGATTGGCTAATGCGATCACATGTCATGAATGAATGCATTATGGGTCAGCGCGCCTTGTCTGCGCGCCTTCCCAGAGATCCCCGCTCCGTCGCCACACATGTCGCCGCCATTTTTGGGAAAATTCGATTCGTGCATCCGAAGTTTGCTAATTTTCGGATTCGGCGCGAATCGAATTTTTCCTGATCTTCGAAACGAATTCCACTTCGCCATGTTCGATTCGCTCATCTCTAGACATAATGAATGAATCTGAGTCTTCCAAACCATATTCATGTTCAAAAATATTAATCAATTCGGAACAAAAAAATATATGTAACCAATCCAAATGTATACAAAAACAAATTCCAAAAATGAATCAGTCTAGCATAACTAATTTGACAAAAAGAAATGACCGTCTTAGCGAATGAATCCGAAACTAAGCAAAAAATTTTTTTCAATGTGTACATCTCTAACATTATCTACCAGGGAATCCCGAAGTGTAGGAGGCATTTGCTGGAGTTTGTTTATAGACTGAAGCATTTTGCCTTTAACAGCTTAAAGGGTAACTTGACCTTTGTGAGGAAAAAAAAACAAATAAACAAAAAAATATGGCATATACAGTTGCTACACAAGTCATATTGTAATTAAATGTTAAGAATTACCTTTCCTTTACAATCTGTAGTGCTGTAATTTTCTGTAAAATGCAATGCAACATGGCTACCTGAAGGCATTCTGTACACAGATGGTGTATGGAATGCCCCCCAGAAATGTTATTTCCTGCTTGTGTGATTAGCTTACTGATTTTCCCAGAAGTCTGCACTAAGATCCAAGTTGTCACAGTCAGGCTTGGAGACCAGTAGCTATAGCAATAGAGAGGCTCCCACCGACCAGCAGGTCACCCTGGAGGATGATGTAGACTCACCAAAGGTGCGGGGTCTAAGCACTAACTGATACTCACCAAAGCTCCTGATGGTGGAGATGGGTATTTATTTGTTTCATTCGTTTGCCACTTCAGAGGGTTTTGTAAGTTCAATAATATTGTCACACACTGCATTATTAAGATTGGCCAAAGTCAAGCAAAATATCAAAGTCGCAAGCAAATGGAATCGAAGTCTCAAGCAAGTGGCATCAAAATAGCAAGCAAGTCACCAAAATTAGATAAGGTCATAATGAATGAATCTGAGTCTACCAAAGCATGTTCATGTCCAAAAATATGAATCAATTCGGAAAACAAAATGTATGTAACCAATCCAAATGTATACAAAATGAATTCCAAAAATGAATCAGTCTAGCATAACTAATTTTGAAAAAAAAAATGACTGTCTTAACAAATTAATCCGAAACTAAACAACAACATTTTTTCAATGTGTACATCTCTAACATTACACAGGTCTGCAAAAACATTTTTTCAAGAGCTGTTTTGGTTATTCCACGTAATCTTTATGTTTTTTGGTGCGCTGAATCCGAAAATGACCTCCATTTTGTCATAGGACATCACGTTTCCTGACAATTTAGGTAACTATGTTAAATAAGGCAATACCTCTAAATAAATGGAAATAGACTTATAAAATTAAAGTTTTATTACAATTTTTTCATGAAAATCCTTTTTTGAACTGAAATGAGCTCACCTACACACACTAAACTTGATTCTTCCTCCCTGTGAGGCTCCTCTTGGTGCATTTACGCTTGTGAGTAGCATCTGTAATGTCTCTCTGAAGCATCCAACAGTAGTCTGCCATCATTGTAATGCTCCATTTTCCCTGGTATCTCTTTTCCATCTCTATAATGTCTTGGTGGAATCGTTCACCTTGTTCCTCACTCACAGCTCCCAAATTTTCAGGAAAGGTGGGACTGGAGGAAATGCACTTTCAAACTCATCAGGCAACCTAAAGCTTGAAATGCTTTCAGCATTCGTCCGACGATCTGTTTGTAGTGAGGATCTTTGTTATTGCCTAAAAATTTCTGTACGACTTCTTTAAATGCACTCCACCCTTCTTTTTGAGGATCCGTCATGGTATTGACAAACTCTTGATCAACTATAAGCCTTCTAATGTCTGGTCCGACGAACACACCTTCCTTCAGTTTTGCCTCCGAGAGGCCTGGAAACTTGGTGACCAAGTATTTGAAGCATTCTCCATCTCTTGGAAGTGATTTTACGAATTGCTTCATCAATCCCAATTTTATGTGGAGAGGTGGTAGAACAACTTTATGGGAAGGTACCAAAGTTTCTCAGAGGACATTTTTTTCACCGACTGTTAGCACCCTCGGCTGCCAACTCTTCTGGGTCCAGTGATTTTGTAGGTCTCGACTGTCCCATAGATACAGAAAACAAGGGTATTTGGTATCCCACCCACTGTATTCTTCAGGAAAGATTAACCCCTTCTACCATTAGAAGCACAGACTCAGGGCTGAGGCTTACACATACAGCATGCTGCTGAGTATCCCAGTAGTAAGACATGTCACTCAGAGCAGCACTTGTATTCACCCCCTTTGCAGGGGGAAGGGGCAGAGATTGTTTACCTGCAAATAACAACAAAGGGCCAGAAGAGAACTAGGGAAATAGAAATTTTTTTCCCTAAAATTTGCTTAGCTTATGTATCTATTGCTGACCATCAGATTTACAGTGCTATATTTTTTTTTACATAACTCGGACAACCCCTTTAAGGTTTTTTTTGGCATTTTATATCTTAAATGCACTTATGTGAATTAATAGTGATTTGGACTTTAAATTTGGTTAAAAACCCATAATATAAAAAAATACCAAAAATTTAAAAAATTTGATAAATTTCAAGAGAGTTTTGCATTTTGTGGCAAATCGTAGTCTAGGAGTTTTTTTCAATATTTTTTTTGTTTTCAGCACACCAAAATACATGGAAATTAGATTAAAATAATCAAACAGCTTTTTAGTCGCAGACCTGTGTTATCTACCCAGAGAATC